GAGGGCGGGCGTAAGAGAAGCCACGCCTGTTGGCACCCTTATCTTGGGCATCCAGCCTCCAGAACTGTGAGAAAATAAATTTCTGTTGTTTAAACCACCCAGTCTATGATATTCTGTTGTGGCAGCCCGAGCAGATCAATACATCTTCCTTCTCAAGAATGATCATGGGGCAGGCAACACCATTCCCCCTCCTCTTCCTCGAGACCTCCTGCCCACACACAGCTAACGGGTCTGGGCTGGGCAATTTATCTTCTTGCTTTCAAACTTTTATGGAACTCAGCCCTGCCTTTTGGTTCTGTGAGATACCTCTATATCCTTGAAATAACACCCTCATTCTCAGCTGATATCTGTTACTTGCAATCAGAAGAATTCTACAGAGGAGTCTGGAGATAGAAACTTTTTATCTAAAACAGAGATGGATTCATATATATATATGTATATATATATATTATTTAAGCATATTATGGGTACAAATTTTAAGGTTTAATAAATGCCCTTTCACCACCTCCTCCACAAGTCTGAGATTCCAGCATGACCATCCCCAGATGGTGCACATCTGACTCATTATATATGTATATATACCCGCCCCTTCCCACCTGCCCAATACCCTATTACTGTAGTACCTATGGTCCACTTAGGTGCTGCTCAGTTAATACCAGTTTGCTGGTGAGTATATGTGGTGCTTGTTTTTCCATTTTTGGGATACTTCACTTAGTAGTATGGGTTCCAGCTCTAACCTGGAAAACATAAGATGTGCTATATCACCGTTGTTTCTTAGAGCTGAATAGTACTCCATGGTATACATATCCAACATTTTTAATCCATTCTTGGATTGATGGGCACTTGGTGTGTTCCATAGTCTTGCAATTATGAATTGTGCTGCTATAAACATTCGAGAGCAGGTGTCTTTTTTGTAGAGTGTCATTGGATCTTTTGTGTAGATACCCAGTAATGGGATTGTTGGATCAAATGGTAGATCACTTGTATCACTTTAAGGTATCTCCATATTGCTTTCCACAGAGGTTGAACTAGTTTGCAGTCCCACCAGCAGTGTAGGAGTGTTCCTCTCTCTCCGCATCCACACCAGCATTTATTGTTTGGAGACTTTTTGATAAAGGCCATCATCACTGGAGTTAAGTGATATCTCATTGTGGTTTTGATTTGCATTACCCTGATGATTAGAGATGTTGAGCATTTTTTCATATGTTCGTTGGCGATTCTTCTGTCTTCTTTAGAAAAGTTTCTGTTCAAGTCCTTTGCCCACTTTCTAATAGGGTTATTTGATTTTTCTTGCTGATTTCGTGAGTTCTAAGTATATTCTAGTTATCAGCACCTTTTGGATGCGTAGGATGCAAAATTTCTCCCATTCTGTAGGTTGTCTGTTTACTTTCATGACTATTTCTTTGGCTGTGCAGAAGCGTTTTAGTTTGATCATGTCCCATTTATTTATTTTTGTTGCTGCTGTGATTGCCTTTGAGGACTTCTTCATAAACTCTTTGCCTAGGCCGATGTCTAGGAGAGTGTTTCCAACTTTTTCCTCTAGAATTCTAATAGTTTCATACCTTAGGTTTAAATCTGTTACCCACCATGAGTTGATTTTTGTGAGAGGTGAGAGGTGTGGGTCCTGCCTTAGCCTTCTACAAGTGACTATCCAGTTTCCCAGCACCATTTATTGAAAAGGGATTCTTTTCCCCAGCGTATTTTTTGTCTGCTTTGTCAAAAATTAGATGCTATATGAGGATGGTTTTATATCAGGGCTCTCAGATATGTTCCACTGGTCAATATTCCTATTTTTGTGCCAATATCATATTGATTTAACTACTACAACTTTGTAGTATAGTTTGATATCTGGCATATTAATACCTCCCATTTTGGTTTTGTTGCCTAGAATTGCTCTTGATATTTGGGGTCTTCTTTGCTTCCATACGAAGCGTAAAATTATTTCTTCTATATCTGCGAGAATGCTGATGGGATTTTAATAGGTATTCATTGAATCTGTAGATCAGTTGGGAAGTATAGACATTTTGATGATGTTGAGTCTCGATCCACGAGCATGGTATGGATTCCATCTGTTTACATCCTCTGCTATTTCCTTCCTCAGTGTTTCATAGTTCTCCCTGTAGAGGTCTTTTACCTCCTTGGTTAAGTATATTCCTAGGTACTTTAATTTCTTTGTTGCTATTGTGAAGGGAATTGAGTCTTTGATTTGTTCTCAATTTGATTGTGTTGGCGTATATGAATGCCTCTGATTTCTGTGTATTTATTTATATCTGAGACTTTACTAAATTCATCTATCAGTTCCAGGAGTTTCTTGTTGAATCTTTGGGTTTTCTAGATAAATATCATATCATCAGCAAAGAGTTAAAGTTTGATCTCTTCTGCCCCTATTTGGATACTTTAATTCATTTTCTGTTTGATTGCTGTAGCCAAGACTTCCAGCACTATGTTGAATAGAAGTGGAGATCGTGGGCAGCCTTGTCTGGTTCAAGTTCTAAGTGGGAATTCCTTCAATTATTTCCGATTCAGTATGATGTTAGCTATGGGTCTGTCGTATATGGCTTGTATCATTTTTAGGTATGTTCCTTCTATGCCTATTTATTTAGTGTTCGTATCATGAAAGGTGTTGATTTTGTCAAAAGCTTTTCTGCATCTATTGAAAGAATCATATGGTCTTTTGTTTGTTTTATGTGGTGAATTGCATTATAGATTTACGTATGTTGAACCATCCC